CTTTGTGTAGTAGTGTTTGAGGCTCACACCATGCCCAGTGCACTCTTTAATCTGATGCCTTTGTGCAGCACAACTTACAAAACAGAGCTACAGAAAAGCCTCCTGGTAAAAAGGAAGTCAGCAGCGACCGTGGAGGCTATTAGAGATCTTGCTCTCTCAGCAAGCTGTAAGATTTTTGGGACCTGGGCAGAGCTTTTGCAGTATTAGGATCAGTCACTAACTACAGCATTTTTGCCTGTTGTGTTATGAGAGATTGTGCAGGAGGATGGGAGCGTGTAGTGTTCTGAGGATCACAACTCCTTGCTCGGATGCTGCAGTGAGAGAACCAGACCTCCCTCCTGGCCTAACCAGGGGAACAATTGACTAGGCCTAGGGCTATTACTCAGCCCTGGGAGCAGGGGCAGTTGCTCTGCCCCTTCCCCCATCTAGGGAGACAGTTTAGGGCTGGCACGGAAAGATCCATCTATGCTGAGACTCCTCTTTCCATCTAGCTCAAGTCACTCTGCTAAGAACAGTGGATTAGAAGGGAAATACTTCCCTGCAAGAGGTGGGCTCTTGCTTCAAGGGCTTGTGTCAAATGCTGTGAGTTTTCATTAGACCTAGCTAAGGACTACAGAGGTAGGAGAGAAAGAAAATTGGAAATAAGGATTGATGATATCTTTATTGTCATCTCCTTATTCAACAATTATTATCCTCATGTGGGATATGTGGATCATGTGTAAATCAATGCAAATCAAAAGCTGTGGGAATTCTCATTGCAGCTTTCCATAGAATAACTTGATTTTTCTCCCTCCTTACATCATCTATTTCAGAAATCTATTGCAAAGATAGTGTATCTGAATATACAGAATCTAACAGTATGTTTCTCTGAGACTTAATTTCCCTCTCACAGTAGAGCCAAATGTTATTTTGGCGATTGTCAATCAAACTCAGTTGTGGTGTATTTTAGATGTTGAAGCTGAATATAGCCTGCGTATATTCCTGTAAACTATTAGCTAGCTCTGAAATGTAACTTGTTTTATATTTCTGTTACTTTTTGTGACTTTTTCATTTGTTGTTTGCCGTTTCATTTTTTTTTTTTTAAAGAAAAGGTTTAGAGCAGATCTGTTAGTTAATTTATCTGAAAATAAACGGTAACTTCAGCATAGAAATATTTTCAAATGGCATAATTAAGTGTCATATAACAAACATTGATGTAATAAAATTTAAATTAATTAGCATAGAATGACTAATTATTTTATCATTATTATTTCAGTGTGTTTTCATGTAAAATTATGTGACTTGCTTCATAACAATATTTGCAACTCATCTGGAGCAAGGACATACTTTTTAAATTCTTTCTACTTTGAATTCTCTTTCTTTTCTCTATATTTCAAGGGCTCTGTTCTTTAAATTTTTGGTATGAAGCAGGAGACATGTATTTGATCTTTTCCAAAGGCTTCAGAGGTAAATTGAAAGGAAAACTGATTGTTATTGGCACTTCATATTTTTAGAATTTTATTGCAGTTGTGATATAATTGCCCTTTGAGCTGGTGTTTAACTGCACAGAGTACGGAGATATATATGGTAATTTAATAAATCTACTGTGTTGCAAGAGAGGTGAATCAGACAAGAAAAGATTTATTTCTTACAGTTGTGTTGGGTTTGTTGTTTCTTTGTTTTGGGTATTTTGGCTCTTTTGGAAACTTACAAAAGAGAGAGACTTCCAAAGAGATGGGTAACTCAAGTATGTACATGTTTTTTTAATGTCGTTTTAGAAATCCATAATAGTACAAATTGACGGTTCTGGCTTTGCTTCTTTCCAGTGCAGGGGAAGTATACTGCTATAGTTACATACTGACATAATCATTTGGCTGATTGAAAATTAAGACTGTGTTCTGAGAAAGGATTTATTTTAATAGCCCATTGCTTAATCTGCAGGCAGAGTAAATTAATCCTTTCCCATTCCCCAAAAAGTGGGTTTTGGGGTTTATCCTTGGGAAAAAGACTGCAGTTTATGTTTGGGAAAAGACTTCATGTGTTCTAACAGCTGCAAACGCATTTGTGATTTATTCTGGCTGAGCCGTGAACAGCAAATGTGGGGTGTAAATACATCGGTGTAGCCATAATATATTAATTTATAGAAAGTTGCAGACTGAACCTACATGATATGGAGAACCATATAAGATGATGAATGTAAAATCCCGCTATAGTATCTTCATAGCATCGCTTTGAGCACAGGTCTGAACCACACTAGAACTGAAATTTCCATACTTTGTAGTCTGTTCTTTGGCTTGCTCACAATGCAGTGATCTCAGCTAGCAAAACCAAGCAACCTCCTTGACAGAAGAGTGAAACAGAAAGGCTTATATCTTGTCCATCAGCCAACCTACGCTGTAGGAATTTCCCCTTCAAACCATCTTCTTTTCTTTCTTTTTCTGGAGCAACTGCTTTTATGGACCATGTTTTCCACACAGCAGGTCTACAACAACCATTTCCTTACCTTCCCTGTGGCTGAGAGGAACTAAACTGCCCTCCTTTGTTAACCAGTAGAGCTGAGGTTGCTCTGTCAGTTCTGAAGTCCTCCAATACACACAGCTTTATATCCCTCGACATTTAGGTTTTTGTTACTAATGAAAATTCTAGCAGAGTATACTGATTGCCTTTGGCTGATTCTATGTTTTTTTTGCTTAAATCTGAATTTTCTTTTGTGTAACTTCTAGCATTGTGTATGTAGTTGATAATTACCTGCTTTAAATGGCTTATTATGAAGGGAGAAATCTTGAGCTAGCATGCTCTTGTCACATACTTCCTTCCTCCTTCTTAGGCCAGGTCTGCAGCTGTTTTGAGGACTTAGTGACTAAAATGCACATAGCATCTCTCAGTAAAACTATTGGCTTCTTAATTAGAGTCTTTGAGAAGCCAGTGTTTTAGTACCACTGTAGCCTGTATTTCTTCCTATTGTCCTTGAAGACAACTGTAAAATAGACAACTGAGATTTGTATTTCAAATGTACTGCAAACAGATGGAATATTAAAACATCCGAGACTAATCTGAAATCAAAACCACCGTGTAATTTCTGTGAAGGTGTTTGTTCTCTCTCAGTTACAGTGCGGTGGTTCATTGTGAGAAAATGGGCACTGAAATAATTTGCTGATTGAAGGACCTGCTCTTGGAAACAGATTATTTTTTTTCTTAGCACTTCACTGAGACTTACAATATACGGTTTGAGTCTCTGAATCCTCTGCGAGTTTCATTTGTAATTTTGGTCAGTAATTTTAAGAGTTGATGGTTTATGGTTTCTCAACTGTGTAATAATATTATACACAAATCATATGATGGCTAGAGTGTGTGATGTTATCACTAAATAATATACATGATATGTTGCAATATTTAAGTGTTATGGAAGCTGTGAAAATATCACGCAGCCAGAAAAGGTCCACTGTGCAGGAATTTGTCTTGGGTACACATCTTGAAAAGTTGAGTGGTGGTTGTATAAAACTGCTGGGGAAGGTCAGGTTCAAATGGAGCCCGGTTCTTGTTGAGAACCCTGATGTGAAATTCTCCACAGGTTATATGCACTCTATTCATCAGAGAGCACACTTCAGCCCTTCTGTTATCCTTGTTTGGTCTTTAGTCTTTGGGACTAGGATGTCAGTGTTGCAGACAATGTATGGCTATAGTCCAAATTCAATTTGTGACAACCCCAGGATGATGAAGTTGTTGTAGATCAAAATTGGAGTCTCTGGAGTGTCAGAGTGTTATCACTATGTCAGTTTTGTTCTGAACGTGTTTACAATATAATTATTATTACAGCCAATTCGTATAGGGACATACTGCTTAACGGAACCTAAGATTTTGGCCTCTGTTGTAAGACTTAAAAGTTGGACACATGGAAGCTGGGTTTAATCTTATGAGGAGTTTGATTTGCTTGTATGATCTATGAATTATGATATGAATTTGTGCAACTTTTTCCTGTTTGATGCTTAGGAAGTTTCTGAAAGACTTATGAAGAATAAGCACAAATATATTCTCTTGCCTTCTTTATCTGTCTTGTGACAGGATTCTGCTAGTTTTTTTAAAATCTTTGACAACTCCAATAAGAGAAGCAATCCCAACATTTATTCACTTTGTAATCTACTGTATAATGAGCATTTGTTATCAAGTTGTTGAGTACTATCTCAGTGGAGGCAGTGAGGGGAAAATGTCTTTGGTATACCTTGCATCAGCTCCAGGAAAGGGACCACAATCCTTTGGCACTATCATGGTAAAGAATTGCATTAACCTATCTAATTATGCACTGAACATTACAGAAAATGGAATTAGAATGTCTTTATTCATTTGTTGTGTATTACTGTCATGCCTAGAATTGCATCCTTGCGGAAAGATTCAGAAATATATCCTGTGTTTAAAGGGTTTTCATTTAATTGCCAGTCGCTTCACTTGAGGATGCATCTTTTTTATGAAGGTCCTGTTGCCAATATAAGGGTTTCGTTAACCAGTGGTTTGGGTTTCTCCTTCTCTCAACAGGAATCTCAAGAACCACCCATTACATAGAATGGACTCGGCGCATGTATGCAATAGAAAAGTGAATATGAAGAGAAAGAATGACTGTTTGTCAAATCCAGTCCTTTGAAAAGTTAAGTCTTGTTTAGGTCTGTGGTAGAAAGAAATGGCTGAAAATTATCTATTTTGTTTGAATTAAGGAAGCTGAGCATTACTGCCGCAACTTAAGAAAAACCCTCTTGACTTCCTGGAAACTGAAAGAATTTTTTTTGAAGAAGTAATTGTCTCTGACATCACTAAACTGCAGAGCGAGTTTGCGAGTGGCTAGTTTGGGGTAACAGAGGAAGCAACTCCTTCACAGATAAGCAGGCAGTGCAATGTATGTGCCTAGTTATTCTCCTTTTTGGTTCAAGTATTGCTGAGAAATTCTTTTGCAGAGAGATAACACTTATTTTGCTTTCCAGAGAGAGACACATGCTGTTTCATAAGGATACGCCTGATTTCCAGAAGTAACCATGTTTTTGTGGCTTAAACTCTTAGCATTTGGTGTTGCGTTTCTGAGACAGGATGCTTTTGTCAAAGGTAGGTAGCAGTTGATATTTCTTTCTCTCATTTTGATCCCTTAATGTCCTCTGTAGAAGTAAAACAAATGAAAAGTTTTGGAAAGTGGAGAAATGACAGCTTTGTTCACAAACTAGAATACAATTGTATGCAGTGGTGTCAGAACCTAAGTCAGGAAGATTGACGCATAATGTACAAGGCTAAAATGTCTTCCGCACGGTCATATGTGAGCTATATGAACAATTAAAAAAAAAAGAAGAGAGATTTGTAGTTTTATTTGAAAAAGAATACATCTAGATCTCTTATGTGAGCCTGTTCAATACAGTCTTTGTCAGGTTTCATCTCACAATGCAGTACTTTTTCTGTGTTTAAATCCTTCAAGAAAAAATCTTCCTATCCATTTTAGCCACTCCCTGATCTCAGAATCTGCTTATAGTTCCTCAAATTTTGATTTTTACTGCAGTGGGGTTAGTAAAAAAAATATAAACATTGAAAGGTAATCTCTACAGTTGGGAAATTACTGATTTTATATTACTTTTATAAAATATGAATTATTTATGTTATGAAAACTGCTTCTTAACGAGCCTGCAAAAATTTTAATTGTCTAATTACTCCACCACAGGTAAATTTGTTGCTTGAATTTTTTTAATTTTATAAGAGAAAGATAGAGGCCAAGAGGTTGATCTTGCAAAACATGCTTGATGTGAAAGATACTGTGAGCAGCAAGAAAAGCAATTAATTTTGAGGTAATACTTTATATAGAGACAAAAATGGATCTATGTTTAAGAAAATATTTTCTTGAAAAGAACATGTAGTATTTTATGTATATGTACTAGTTAAGGTAATTTGGGATAGTTGATGGCAGACACAAAAGCTTTTCTCTAAAGTAATGTTCACTCTAAAAAGTGGCTTGAAACATATATTCTGAAATGGCAGCAAATTACATACAGGGCTGAAACGTCTTTTTGCATACATTGAATTTATGCGTGCTTCTATCGTCATGTCACTATAGTAACTCCAGGTTTATACTGATGTAAGCAATAAAATGATCTGTCTTTAGTTGATAACCAGCTAAGAAGAGCATTTGAAGCCTGACCATTAGTTCTCTTGTCCTTCAAAGTCTGTGAAGACAGGCTGCACTGAATAAATCTGGTTGGTAGCTGTTGGATATTATAAGAAAACAAGTGAATGCTGTACTGTAGAAGAAAAGAAAAAAAAATCTCTTGCTTTTCCTGTCCTTTTTTTTTTTTTTTAATCTGCTGTCCTACTTTCCATTTTATGTCTTTCTGAGACTTCCCACCGTTCCCTTTTCTCCAGAAAGGGCAGGTTACTGTCTGCTCTCTCAGCCACCTTCACAGTCAGTCGATGTGCTAGCTAACAGACAGGGCTGGAAGACAGAAAGAGGGGTAGCAGTATTTTATTTCAAGTAATAGTTATTTTCTCTGTCCACACACCGTAGTCTAGCTCAAGCCAGTTCCTCGCCACATACTTCTATTAAAGAGAAGAGCCTCAAAGAAATTATAAGTTTTAACTCCTCTCTAATACACTAGAAGTAATTAACAGGCTTGCGCTGCAGTATCTAATAATCAGCCTTACAGACCTTGTTTTGACTGTGTAGTTTGGCACAGAGATTGATTCTTTTGTCAGGGTGACAGAACCATTATACTTCATCTTTGCTGTGTTAGACTACTCTGCCTCGTACTCTACCTGGGCAACTGGGCAGTCTTCTAGGGAGGAGTTTGTTACTGGAGGAGCTACATTAGGAAAAGGTGGTGTAGGCTTTGGTTTTATGGCAAGAACAATTTTCAGGCACCTGTTAGTAAGTGTTGGGTGGGCTTTGGGATTTATTTTGTTACTATTGTCTAAGAGCCTATTATACCTAGTGATTTTGAAGACATAGCAGGAGAAATTTAAGGTTGTCTGATTTCCACCACTAGTGCAGAAGTCCTATAAACATCTTTATTTTCCTGTAATCGCCAAGCTGCTTTTAAGAGCATCAAACTACATTAAAATAACAACAACAAAAAAGTTAGGAATGTTTAGAGAAATGTTTAGAAAAAACCTTTGCTTCTATTTAGAAAAAAAGAAAAAGAAATGATTGTAGGAAAAGCACTTTTTTTTTTTTTCCATTAGATCATTAATTCGGGTTCCTCCCCCTGCTCCACAAAAGTATTAGCAATTTGTCAACTTTCAAAAGCATTCACCCACTTCTGACCCACTTCCTTTATTTCAGGAAATTAAATAATTGCTTGATAATTTTGGGTGTGGCTTTTTTATTTTCCAGGTTAAAATTACTAAACTTTGGCAGGCACACAAAATCTGGGGCCATGCAGTCTGCATGCCCAACAGCTGTGGAGGTTTCCACCTGGAAGTGTTATATTTTCTTCACACATCAGTGTCAGTATAGCTCATCCGATGGCTTTGACCGTCTGTGAAAAGCTTTTTCACAGACTGGTCTATCCCTTTTGGAAGGAGTCTGGCAGACCTAATTTTTAAGTAGAGGAATTTAGTAATCTTGGTTCATTCTATGTGTAGGATGAAGGAGAAGGGGAATTGCTCTGACAGAAGGATAGGTATTAAGGTAGAAGAAAGTGAAGTGAAGGCTTTAGAACACCGCCTCTGACATGTTCCTCTTATGGATGCCCCCGCTGCAGGTTCTGTTTAGGACTGTATCATATTCTTTTTTTTTTAGTGGTACACTTAAGGCTTTCTGAAATACCTATATCAGAGTCCTGCGCTCAGGGACCTCTTAAAATTTGAAACAAACTGCCTGCTTTTCACATCTTGCACAGTCCCAATACTTTATTCAAAATCAGCTGAGACAGAGAGTTTGTGTGTGCACAGGGGCTCAGGCAGTCCTGCTCACTTCCTGGGCTGGCCGGACCCAAGCCAGTTCTAAACTGGAAGGCATTCAGTTTCGTTATGGTGATGTACTTCAGCCACCAGCCCGACACATGTTAATCAGAGCACGGCAGCACACTAGCATAGCTACATGCTTTCTGGACAAGAATTAGCTCCTGATTTGGACCAAATATGTAATTTTCTTTACCCATTCACCTAGACTAGCACTAATGGACGGATGGCCGGGTTGTTGATGCAGTGTGTTGATTATAACTGCAGATAGGGCAAGAGACATTGGTTCTGGACTAATGAGTCTTTCTTACTTAGTGTGGAAAAGACATTTGCCTGTCATTCTGTATTTGCTCACTTCAGTATATTAACATACTGAGAATGTTTACCAATATAGACCTAAAGCCGCAAAACTGCCACGCAGAGACCAGTGCTAAAGAAAATCCAGCTCTCAGTGGCATGGTATGTTGGAACTGCTTCCTTCAGTTTTAGTTTTAATTTGCTGAACTTAAGTTTGTGTGTTTAGGTTCTGAAGCACAAATCAACAGCGAATGGGTTAGAAACATTGCACATATAATGAGATAAGACAGAAGAAGTGGGGGGAGGAAACAGGATGGAGTGACTTCAAAATATTCCTAGTACCAGGAGTCAAGCTCTGGTTTTTTGACTGTGTGACCTATCTGCAGAACTGCCTGCCTCCCAGGTAGCATGTGTATGCATTAAACAAGTAGGTAGTCTCCACACTGAAATTGTGAATGCATTGTATATAATGCATGAAAATGATCCTGTTTTCTTTTCCTGTGCAGCTGCATTGTGGTATGTGCTGTACCATGCTGGGAGCAAGGAAAGGAGAACAGCAGGCCATGAAAATGTTCTGTCCTCTGTTTACGTTCTTGATCTGGTTTTAGGAGTTAATATTCATAGGCACACATCTGGCCCACCAGGAAGGCAGAGCAAATTAATCCACAATGAGCTCTCTGCTGTCATGGCTTAACTTCTCTTCGTAGTCATTCAGCTACCTCGTTTGGAGTTAGCTGGAGTGTCTCTGCATTACCCCGTGTTTTGCAGCACTGAGTCTTGCCGCTGCCGTTCCCTTTTGTTTGGGTGGCTGTTCCCCCTGTGCTGTCAGCCCTGGGGATGAGGACCACAGGGGAATGCAGCACATGGGGGGGGATGCAGAGATGGCCCCCGAGATGGCAGAGGAATGAGAGGCAATGCAGGAAAGTGTCATGTGCCGGGCAAGGCTTGCTCGCATAAGTTCAGCTCTTCGGGGCTGTGAGGGAACTCCTTTCAAAGCCTAGCAAGAACATGTGCCCGTTACAGGAATGCGGCAGCTTAGACAGGGCTGGGCTGGGATGTCTGTGCCCTTTGAGCTGGCTGCTGGGGCCGTGACTGCCAGCCCTGCCTGGGAGGCAGCGATGGTCCCTGAGCTCTGCCACTTTCTGCATCGTGCAGAGATGTCCATTGCTCACATTTGTTCATCTTTAATCGTATATAACTAGAAATCAAGCAGTTATTTCTTTCGGGTAAAATTATCGAATACAGAACACCCAAAACATTTGGGGGGGGAGGGGGAATAGTTTACTCTCTTCAGAGCTCAGTTTAGGCCCTGAAGCACTTCTGTGCAAAAAAATGGTAAAAAGCTTTAAAGTGGCAAAACTCTGAGTTCCTCCTGTAAATATCAAGATTAAAATAACAGATACAGTTGTGAAAGCTGTTTTTTCCCCTGCTACTTTACTGTCTCTCAGACTGCTATGCTGTGTGTCCTGATGCATTTCCAGGCTATCCATACACTGGCAAACAGATCTTGTTCACTGGTGTTTCAGTAACTGTTACAGCATTTTATCTATTTCCAGGCTTCTTTCCCTTTCAAGTAAAGCAGTTTGGGGCCTTCAGTGACAGGATTTTAGAAACTAGCTGCGAGCACTTCAGTGCCAGCTTATATTATCCATAGTGTTGTATAGCTAACAGGATCCACTTCTTTTCTCTTCTTTTATACCACTACTTTGCAGTACTGTTCTTCCAGTTATTCCCTCTGTGTCAGTGCCTCCTCAGCTCGCCTGCTTGCTTAGGTTTCTATTCTCTAGTTTCAAAGACTTCTCTTACAATCTGTCTGTTCTTCATTCATAAGCCCACCACCCTGCACAGAGCTCTAGAGGTATCTTTTGTTG